TTTCCCACGCTCCTGCTGGGAGCTAAGGAAACGCTTATCTCCCCGAGCTTGGCCTTCATAACACCATTCCATCACAGAAACAGAATATGTGCAAACAGGAGTGGCAACCTATGGCCCTTGGCCTGCCACCCAAATTATCCAGCCTGTGGCCCTAAAAAGAAATATATTCATCCTGGCCATGAGAGGGAGGGAGAGACCTCTGACCACCTCCTCAGGTGAACATTTTGGCGATGGCTTCACAAGCTGCTTTGGCACAGGCAGAGCGACATGTCCCCTGGAAACGGTGGCAGTGGTGACAGCATGGCCTCTGGCCCCTACACAGAAGAAGGTTGCTGACCTCTGCTTCACAGGAGAAACTGGATCATTGGCTCAGCCAGAAAGGTGAATTTTTTGCAGGGCTGTCCCAGGATTCAGCATCTTGGACATTAGTTTAGTCTAAAGTTGCTTCAGTGATTGAGGGGGCTAATCAGTTTAGTACAATAGCTAAATAATTCCTGTTCAGCCTTTTTCTGCCTCCTTCCCTAGCATTCAAGTTGGCGTTTGTCCTAACCTGCCTTTTGCCTTCTCCAGCTGCCTTGTAAAGCAGATGCGTGGGCTGATCTTTCTTTTCTTTTTCTCTCCACCTCCTGCCCATTTTCATTCCTCCCCTCCAACCTTCTCTTGTCCTCCTACGCACTTTCGTCCTTGTTCTTTTCCTTCCAACCACCTTCTTTTCCTTGGTTTCTCTTTTCCTTCCTTCCTTCTCTCATTACTAGTTCATGGTGGAAAAGGGATTAGATTTACTCTTAGTGAAGAAACCTATCCTGAGAAGGGTACGTGTCATACCATTGTCCTGACACTCCTTCCCGTCCTCAAATGCACCCCTCATCCCACCACCCTGGCCAAGGCTAGTCAGAAGCACAGGATGCCGTCCCGGTGGAGATCTGGAAGAGAAATGGAGGGGGGCAACCTTGCAGCCAAAGCCAAGACCATGTTCCTTTTCTCTTCCGGCAAGGGATCTTCTGAACTAGCCCTGTTCCAGGTGCTGGTACCCTCAAGCTGAGCCTCTTTCTGCAAGTGCACTGAATGCATCAGAATGATATCCTTCTGCAAGCACATCGCCGGTGGAGGAGGAGGAGGGCGGGGCGGAGAAGGGGCATTTGGTTGACACCATGGGGGTTTGCTCCACCAGTTTGTCCATCCCCTGCTTGCCTTTAGCATATGGAAATGACCTGTTGGTTTTAAGCCTCGTGGCCTTGGTTGCTGGATCAAGCGAGTCTGAGCATGTGATACAGGAATTGGGATGATCAGGGAGGTGGGTGTACGTATGTGGTTTTTTAAAACCTTTTATTGGCAACAAAAGGCATGGGTTTTTAAGGATCTTAAGCATGCAGGGGGCAAGGCTGCAGATCTAAGCAATTACCAAAGACTGGTACCTATTTTATACCCCTCCTCTTTATTTCATTATTTCTATTGTTGTTTAAAATGTATTTAGGCCAACTTTAAGGCTCATATTTAACGTAATCCACCTATTCAGGCAACTTATACAGTCAAATCCAATAAAATAAATATTAACAATGAAAAAGAACATTACAAATGAACAAAGAACATTACAAATAAACAAAGCGATAGCAATCATAATAAATAAACACCCAACACTTGCATGCATTTAGTTCAGAGAACAAAAGACTAAGGGGAGACCTGCCAGCAATCTTCAGATATGTGAAGGGCTGTCACACCAGCGATGGAGCAGACTTGATCTCTGTTGCTCCAGAAGGCAGAATTTGGTTGTACTCATTTTAGTTAAGCACTAGGAGGAGTGAGAGCTGTTCAAGAGGGTTTGCGCTCTTTTTCTTTGAGGTATTTAAATAGAGGCTGAGCAGCCGTCTTAGTGATATTGATACTGCATCCTACAGTTCCAATCTCGTGTTGGGCAAGAGGATGGATTTCCAAGAGCCCTTCAAATGCTCTCCTGGAAAATACTAAAGCCCATGCACAACAGTAGCTACGACCCCTTAGCTGTCCAAGAAGCTATATCAAGAAAAAAAGCCAATCAGTTGTAGTGGTTCTTCAGGGCTTTTTTAAAGATTTGCAGTGATGGTGCCTGGTAGACCCTGGATAATAATATTGTTAAATTTAGGCCAATGAGAACTGCTGCTGCTGCTCTTAAAGTATAAACTGGCTGATAGGGATGAAAGGAGAGATTTCAATCCTAGGAAATCAATGTCCTTTCCAGAAAGTTTATGAGAAGAATTCAAGTTTTGATCCATGTTAAATCATTCTCTCTTCTTCTTGTCTTATCAGTTACTGGAGACTGCTATTTTCTTCATATAAAAGCTTTAGGCAACTGATTTATCCTGAGAATAATACAATGAAAGAGACTGTTCTTTGTGCCCAGCATGTGGGGCACTGTTGGAATCAGTGTCCTACACTAGCTACATTCATTATTATCTAAGAGAATCTCCATGCACAGAAACGTTTTATTTCCCCATACCTGAGGACTTACGGGCAGATCATAGCACAGGATTGTTGCCTGTCTCCAGGATGTCTGGTCTTGCTGTTCTCTACAAGCTTTGTAGGACAGAATTTTCTGACTCCTGAACTCCAGTTCCTAAGATTCTGTGAGTGGGAAGCCAGGACTGATGTTAAATCACATTGTGTGTTCGAATTCAAATTACACACACACACACACAGAGCGAAGAATTTTGGTTAAACATCAGTAGGAGCTTCCTGATGGCACACACTGTTCAGGAGCTGTCCAGGAGCTAGCGTGCTTTCCTTCAGCAAGAAAGCATAAATGGAGGTCCCTTCCTGCTCTATGATCTTCCAATTCTATGTGTGCTAGAATAGGCCAGCATCATCCAAAAGCTACAGACCTGTTGGGTGTTAGGGCTGTTTTTGTCGCGCCATCTACTTCGGAAGGGGACATGGAATATCTTGTTTCTCCCTCGCTCTGAGATCCGCAGCCTTAGCCCCCTTTCCTGAGGGTCTGACCCTGGGAAAACTGCAGAAACCCTCTCCATTCTTCCTTTTTCCAACCTGTGGCCACCCTGCTGCCACCATCTTTCCCTTTCCCCTCCCCTCTGACACTGCTGCTCCCACCTTGGATTGAAATCTTTTCCATGCTATCTAACCACACCGCTGGCCATTGTGCCTGTGCAGACTGACTCTTTCCGCCCACCCGTTCCCCCTTTCCTTTTGCCTTTGCTGCATGTGAAATTCCTTCATGGAGGAAGCCTGTTTGAACAAGGAGCTGATGTCCTGCTTCTGGGGGGTGGGAGATGGGGAACAACTGCAAAGGGGAAGGTCCTGCTGACTTTGATGGAAAAGCAAGGTCAATGCTATTCTTTGGTTCACGGCCCAGAAGCAAACCGCTTAGAGTCTTCTAAGATTTGGGGCAATATACAGTATATAACTACGATTAAATAAATAGACAGACGACAGGCTTTGGGATATTATTATGGCATAATTTTCAGGGAAACTTTTTTTTTTTAATTTTTGGTGAGAGGGGAAGCCTTAACTTGGTCGATCTGGTAGCAGGGAAGGGCTCATTATTAAGAGACCCAAAGCCAGAAGTGCCTCTGAACGAGAATCACTCCAAAGGGATCAGCAGGCCTGAGTCCATGCATGGTGTTGATGGACAGGGAGCCTGGTCAGGCAAAGACTAACGGTAAACTCTTCTGCTTTCTTCTTGCCTGGCCACTCCGGGACCTCTTGCCCTCCTCCTTTTGCCATTCAGGCTCTGGAGTAGACGATCCTGTGGGAGAAGTCTCCGTCCATGTTGAGCTTTTCACCCATCCTGGCACTGGCGAGCACAAAGTAACAGTCAAAGGTCAGTGACGATCACCAGGAGACCAGCATATCTCAAAGTGGCAGAAGGCCACATCACTTGAGGCTTCTAGAGCTGACTCATTCTAGAAAGCCACTAAAACCATCTTATTCTACCTTTCTTTCCGTTGTTTGGAGGTCACATCTGCTGGGTTGTTTTTATTCTGTCATTTTAGTTTTATCCGTGTTGTACCCTGCCCAGAGTCTTCAGATTGGGGTGGGTTAAAAAAATGGAAAATACAGTACTGAAATGTGCACATATAGAGTTGGAAAAGATGCCATAAATTATGGCTTTTTAGCTACGGTAGAAATAGATAGAACCTCTGTTTGTTGAGGCCATATACATTTGTCATTGGTTACTAGGAGAGGCAGCATACTGCTGTCCAATGTTGATTCATTAAAATTCTGGATTATTTCACTGGTTTATATGAGCAAGCTCATTTCTGGGCTTAAGGAGGAGACAATATACTATCCAGAATCAAAATGATGTTGTTCTTATGTTCCCTTTGTGTTTGTAGTCTGCATTTTGCCTGTGACAGCACCCAGCCACAAACATTTGTCTTTGTAAAAGCTTATTGTGTAGACATGGAAAAGTAAAGGCAAACAGAGAGAGAGATATGTCCTAAGTGAGCATGATAGCAACTGGTTTATTGTATAGGGCTGTCATAAAGATGTATATACATGAAGCTTTTTGAATAATGCAAATAGCATTACACTACTTAGGTTTTAGGCAACCTGTGACTCTCCAAAAACAGTTGAACTACAACTTTCAGTGTATTAGGAAGCATGGCCAATTGTAGCTTAGAAGATCCAGAGTGCTACAGGTTGCCAATTCCACACTTTTTCTGCTCTAATAAATGGCACATTATTTCCTTGGAGGTAAGGAAAACCTCAAGCCATTTCCCCTCTCTCTCCTTTCTGCCTTAGTGGTGGCTGCCAATGATCTCAAGTGGCAAACATCTGGCATCTTCCGGCCTTTCATTGAAGTCAACATCATTGGGCCACATCTCAGTGACAAGAAAAGGAAATTTGCTACCAAGTCCAAGAACAACAGCTGGTCCCCCAAATACAATGAGAGCATCCAGTTGTGAGTGTTTCTGATTTCCCTGTCTTGAATAGAGGCAAGACTGGATTTTTTTGTGCAAAGTTTGTCCTGGCCTCAGAATTCTTTTGGCAAAGAGGGAAAAAGGGAGCAGTAAAGGAATTGCATTCTCCTGCAGTTAAAGACTGTAGTTCTCTTCTGCAGTTAAAGACTGTAGTTTTGGTGCTGGGAAAGGGCAAGATGGATCATTAGGACTGTGTAATGCCTTGAACTGGATTTGAAGAGGTCCTTTGTCAGTGTCTCATTAAAGCACTTGCATCATTTCCCAAGATTATATGGCGGCTAGGAAGGCTTCTGCTTCAATCTGAAGCATTACACAGCCATATAGAGTATTAAGGAGGTAAAAATATGTGCTGTGGGCTCATCTCTGTATAGCAGGTGCAGTTACAAGCTGCTAAGGTGAAACTAGGAACTTGGGTACAGGGAATGTGCAGTTGTAGAATGAAAATGCACCATTTCAAGCTGCAAAGATGCCGTTGTAAACTAAGTAAGGGAAAGTGAAATTGCAGACTGAAAAGGCACAATTGTAGGCTTTGTTGGGAAGGTGCCTTTGCAGCCTAGATATAAGGAAATGAAATTGCAAAATGCAATGTTGCAGCTTGCAGCCATAATATTGGATAATTGCATTGCAGGTGTTGGCTGAATGAGCAGTATGGGCTGAAAATCAAGTAACAGTTATTTCCTGCTGATACATCATAGTGCAGCAATCTGAGGCCTTAATTAGTTAACAGTCTGCATAAACAGGAACAATAAAAGTGTCAGTTCCCAAAAGCGTGACCAAGATATAGAATCTGGCATGGGAAAAGAAAACAGAGATGTGGGTGAAGTTTTCTGTAGTCATAGTTAATGGGCAGCAATTTAGAACTGAACTGTGAAAATGAGGAGAGCAAAACATGTGTCACCGTTAGTGGGACAAGGAGAGCCCTGAGCTAATGTTGAATCTAGGTTTTAGCCCGTGTGCCTTTCATAAGATGTAGGCAGGGGATTTCAGTTGTGAATGACCGCCTTCTCCCGTCCTTCTCCCCCCCCCGCACCTCCGCAGCACCCTCGGCACTGAGACGGGGCCAGAGTGCTACGAGCTGCAGGTCTGCGTCAAAGACTACTGCTTTGCACGGGAAGACCGGACAGTGGGCATCGCCATTCTGCAGCTGAAGGACATCGTGCAGCGGGGCAGCTGTGCCTGCTGGCTGCCGCTGGGCCGGCGCATCCACATGGACGACACGGGCCTTACGGTGCTGCGCATCCTCTCACAGCGGAACAACGATGAGGTGGCCAAGGAGTTTGTCAAATTGAAGTCGGACACACGCTCAGCCGAGGAGGGCAGCAGCAGCTAAGACCAATCTGCCTCCCCCTGACACCCCTCGTTCCCTCCCACCTTCTGCTAGAATTGCCTTCCCTTCTCTTCCTGGTCCCTTCCCTCTTTTATACAGCCATGTCAAAGCCATAGAGTTTTCGGAGCTGTCCTTTCTCTCCCCCGCCCCAGCCCTCCCTGCTCCTCGCTCTTTTATTTGGGAGCTTTGCTCCCGCTGCCAAGGATCACCCACCTACCCTCTCAAATACATGCCCATTGCCAAATCCCCCCATGACGCAGAGAGAGGTGAAAGAGCCAAGAAAGGATCCTGACAAAAATCAAAGATGCTACTGTCCGCACTTCAACATAAACTCCCACTGTCCCCTCTTTCCTGGCACATTTCTGGTTGAGGAGCATCAGAAGCTGCCTTCCAACGAGTCAGGGTATTTGTCAACCAGCCCAGTATTTCCAGCTTGGATTGGCAGTTGCTCTCTAAGGTCTCAGGCAAAGAAGGGTCTTTCCCACCATGTGCTGCCTAATTTGTGAACTGAAAATGCTGGGGATTGAACTAGCAACCATCTGCATGTAAAAGCCAAATCCCTGTGCCAAGTGGAAGTAGCAGTGAGCTACAAATCTATAGTGCTGGGAAAGGCAGCTTCCTTTGTCTTCGCCCTGTTTCGACAGGGCTAAACAAATATTGTAAGATTCTTCCCTGCAATTCTAGCACCAAGTTGTATCAACGTTAGCAGTGCCCAAAAGGCTTACCTGAAGTTCACGCAATCTATTCCAAATTATCAGCCCTCACTTGCAAGGCTAGACCGCGGCAGCTATGAATTTCACCAACTTGGGATCAGCACGAGAATCTTTTATTGCTACGGCCTTCGAGGAAGGCCAGCAATCAGATATGATAGAATTGTAATCTATCATCTGAAGGGCTGTGGCTTCCTTTTCTCTGTTGTATTGTTTTAGAATATTTTCTTTTGTTGCATTTTCCTTTAATTCCACATTAAGGACACGTTCTAAATTTAATTCCAGAAGCGAAGCATGCACTTTGCTACAGTTTTACAGTTCATTTGCACCTTTTTCTCTGTCTCATGCACAGATACAAACACTTGAGTTACTATTTGTATATGCATTGACAACTCTGCCCCCCCCCCCAAATCTTGACTGGATCACAATATTTTGTGTGTGAGGTTTTATCATTGTTCATGAGCATCATCCCTGAGCATTGGTAAAACACCACTCTACAATCTTGCTACCATCATGATTCTCTCATGATTGACTTCTTTTTGTAGTGTTTGTTAACACGTGTGCATACAAAAGTAATGCATAGGAGAAAATGGGCAGCTCAAGGATTGAAAATTGTGGTGAGAATATTAAGAATCTTAGAAGTGCAAAAATGGGGAGTCCTAAATGCCCGTGTTTCACTGTGGAAGCAAAACCAGGTAATTCAGAATGCCAGGTTCCATGGAAAAATTCAGTCAAGGGGACTTTGTAAACAATCCTTCTGTAAACTTAGCAACGACAGTGGAGCGTGTGTGCTGATTCCATTCAAGAGATTTTATTTTACTCAAGTAAAGGATCATTTGATCAGTGGGATTGAGCCCAGGTCCTTTTCCAGTGTGTCATACTTACAGCTCTATTCACACAACACATTTAACCAGGTTTATTGAATTAACCTATTTTCTGAGTTTGCACCGTACATTGACCTTTAAACTAATCAAACAGGCTACATTTGCACATGCTGAGCCATAAGAAAAACTAACTGACATTTTAACTAACCAAGCCTGTCAAGTGAATGCAATCGCTTGGTTTTTAGCTGACTTGGTTTAAGCGTGTCATTGGAACACCGCCATGTATTAATGCAACTTCAGAGCATGAGCTGGCCAGTAGACTTGAGATTTCAGGGAGTTTTTTCAGAAACTCTAGCAGAATTCCTGTGAATATAGAGGGAAGTAGTTCTTGTGAATGAAGGAGAGGTATGAGAACATGGAGTGTCCACGCAGCATCCATTTCAGCATCATGATTCTGTAAGAAGATAATACTCAAATAGGACCTTGCCATTTAAGTAGGCAGGGAACTATGTGGTTCTGGAAAGAGTTCAAGGCTTGAGAGGTTCCAGTAAAGGAGCACGGGCAGAGCATTAAAGGGAAGAGATATTTGGGAAAAGGCACGAGGCCTAAGGGAGCAGCGTTCTGTAAGAAAACAGTTGTTTATGGAGCTGCTGAGATGGCACCGCTTTTGGAAAAGTTAACTGATCCATCATGACTGTCCTAAATCCCCTGATTGATGTCACATCTTAGAGGGCCGCCCCTTCTGAAAGCCACACCAGTTCTAACAACTTGGCCAGTTCTGTCCTTATACTTCTATGGCCATATAGATATATGGGTTGGAATTTATCACCCAGCGCATTAGTTGGTGGCTTTTGCCAGTTCCTTGCTTAACTGCCCCTCATCCCAGTTTGCTCCCCTGCCACCGAAATATGGCTCACCATTCTCCTTCCTTGTTTGCTACCTGATAGGGGATTAACTCTCTCCAGCTGGACAGCTCTAGATAACCTGATATCTATCTTGGCTTCTTAGGAAAGTGCCTTACATCAGGCAAATTATTTTCTCATTTTGCCCTTGATTATCTGCACCCACAGGATCCTGTTAAAAGCAGGCATCGAATGGCATCAAGAATGGCATCTGGGATCTTCTGTATGTAAAGCAGGTGTTCCACCAATGATCTCTGGTCTCCTCCAACTTCTGGAAATCTAGAGATTTCCAAGGAATCTTTGGACATGTAGTGTGCTGTCATTGCTATATTAGAGAACACTCAAGAGTGCCCTGACCTAAGTAAATAAATAAAGACAGTGATGTCCACTTAAACCTAGAAGAACGATCTGTCCCCTCTCCAGAAACCTTCTCCTATTCACCTCTTCCAAACATTGCACAAACCTAGTTCCAAGCTTAGCTCCTCCTCCTATTAGTCAGAATTGTTTTTTTTTCCATTTGTTCCTCCTCTTTTCAAAAAATGTTTAATTCCTTATGAATTGCTTGGGACCAAAGTATCAGGATTTTGAGTTGAATGTTTACACACAGACATATGCACAATCCACCAGACTTATATAAACTGCATTTGAAAAATTAAAGGGGGGGGGGAACCTTAGACAACATGCTTCCGGGCAGGTAGCTGTTGTGGCTAGCAAATCAAAACGCATGGCACAGTGATTTCATCTTTCCCTCCTTAACAGATTTTTTCTGGGGCAAGATGGAACCAACAGCAGGAAAATAAGTAGGTTACAAATGAAAGCTGTCTGGATCTTCTGCAAAATTCTGTGAACATGGCAGGATAATCGCACAATAAAAACCTTGTCTTGAAATCCTGTAAGACTGCAGCGGAGGTAGAGCAAAAATTTCCATTTCTGTTTCCAGCACACTTTGGCACAAACACATCTTACACCGTCCCTATCCTGCAAAGTGAGATCGCAAGAAGCCAAGGGTAGGCATCTCCCTCCATCTTCCCCAGTCCCTTCTTCAGTCGTTTCTGTTCGGCATGTGGTTGAAACTAACAACAAAATGGAGCAGAATAAATTTTAAAACCCCAAACAATAAAATGAAGTTAATTCTATTTGTGTAGCACACGTTGGAATATGTTTTCATGTTGTCTGTTCTGTACATACATACCTGAAGTGGATTGAGCAATGGTTTTACCCAACAATGGATGCATGATAGTGAGATGTTTTGCACTATTTTGAAATTTTGGGGCTCTATACAAATATTTTATTAACTGACATTAAAAATGAAAAACAAATCTCTTGACTGTTGTTGATATTATTTCTGCTTATAACTGGTTCTCACCCTTTGCAGCAAAGCTCAGTACTTTCCACTAAAACCTGGATAATGTAGGTATTGTGGTTCCAGATGAAGAACAGCTAATCTCCTAACATGTTAGTTGTTGAAGTGGGCCCTGCTCTCTCTATATGCAATACCATGGGGAGAATGTTCCTTAACCTGGGAGTCACAAAGAACACCCACTTCCACATAAACATAGCCAGCCTAGCTTCTTGCAATGATGGCCTCTTAAAGCTAGTGTTTCTCAACCTTAGCAACTTTAAGATGTGTGGACTTCAGCTCCCAGAATTCCCCAGCCAGCCACGCCCGCTGGGGGATTCTTGGGGGTGGAATCCACCACTCTTTTAGTTGCTAATGTTTAGGAAAAATAACTTT